TACTCCCGATCTATTCCCACTCTAGTCCCGGTCTAATCCCAGTCTAGTCCCGGTCTAGAAATGGTTTATTCCCGGTCTAGTCCCGGTCTAGTCCCGTCTAGTCCTCGTTAAGTCCTGGTTTAGTCCCAGTCTAGTCCCGGTTTAGTCCCATTCAGTCCCCGTCTAGTCCCGGTCTAGTCCTGGTCTACTCCCGATCTATTCCCACTCTAGTCCCGGTCTAATCCCAGTCTAGTCCCGGTCTTGAAATGGTTTATTCCCGGTCTAGTCCCGGTCTAGTCCCGTCTAGTCCTCGTTTAGTCCTGGTTTAGTCCCAGTCTAGTCCTGGTCAGATTGTGTTAAAATAAACATCAAATTAAGTAATAATTTGACTAACAGAGCCTTTAACAGAGTAGTGTTTTCAGTTTGCTTCAGTTTGTATAATGTTGACGATATCCGGCGCATAGTATTAATATATAAACTTTACCTGTGCCGTGTGGATCAGATTTTCAGGTCATGTTTCTGTTGTGTCATATTTCATTTACAGTCTGTGCCTGGATGTAACGGAGTTTAATGTATGGGAGTCATTAACACTGTCGTATTTTCAAAGACTCCCTGCACCCGCGGGACCAGGACAAATGAAAACATCAGTTGTAAGTGAATTAAAAATAGATACGAGGAGCAGGTACAGGTGACGGCCACGTATCCGCCTCAGAAAACTCACAGCTTCTCAGTTTCCATCAAACCCTGCAGCCTTTTCCCCGAGGGACGCGATGCAAATGTTCCGCTCTTCATTTGCGTTGCAGCGAAGAAGTCGTGCGTTACACTGACGCCGTACACGCTCAAAGGGGCCGGACCTGATGTTTATTGAGTCATTAATAATCCCTGTGGGGTGAAGCTAACCGGAGGCGCTGCTCTGTCTGAAGCTCAGTTACTCGAGTTAAAATTGATCTGAGCTTTGTTTTGTTTTTAAAGACTTAGCTGGAACTTCCGGTCATTGCGCAATGCATACTGGGAAAGATTTTCTGAAAAAGTGAGCATCAAACCGCCATGTTTGTTTTCCCAGTGGGATGCGTCTACTGATAAAGTCGATCTTTTCAAGTCTTTTGAACCATATCACTTTTATTTCTGGTTCTGATATCGTCATATTTTAGTTTTGGGATTCAGACATCGTAATTGTGTGGTTGTTGGATCCTAACAGCAGAAAACAGCTCGAGAAATTTTGGTGCGAACTCCATAAATGCAAAAGGGAATCAGATGTGTGTGACTCAAACCTCTGTTCAAACTGTTTCCCTTCCCAACGGAATTGAAAAATAGTGAAAGGTGAAGGCGATGGGCAGGATTGATCCACGGGAAGGACGAAAAAGAAAACCTTTGACTGTCTAAATCATCCCGAGTTTACAGTGAACATTTTGTATGTGGAGCAGCTTCCCAGGAAGCATTGAGCAATGACCTGAAGTCAGAGATTCTTAATGCGTCTATTGAATATTGTAAATGCGTTCCATTGCAGCAGTTGGGGAAAATATGGATGCCCAAGAAAGTTTAATGTTTATTTTGTTAGCTTACGTAGTTAATGTAAGGTATCGCTAGCTCCTACTAATAAATGTAGTCTGTTAACTAACATTAGCTACAGAAGACTCAGTTATGGCAGTTTGACTATTACATGTTCTGAAATATATCCGACTCGGTCTGCACCGAACTAGCCCGAGTTTCTCTTTTGGAAACCTGATTTGATTGGCTGTTCTATTGCACTTTCTTGAGGTAGAGGTCGGTCCCGAGCACAAGAGAAAAAAGCATTAGTCACTCTAACCTTTTTGTTGAAAATCAAACACCTAAACAGGACCACGAACGCTTGTATTGATTACAGGCTCCTGAAAATGTATTTAAATCAAATTAGTATTTTTTTCTTGAGTATTAAGATGATCTTAAACATTTTTGTCTGTGTTTGCTGATGTGAACATTGCGTTCCTCCAATACGAGAAAACGTTGTTTTTGTTTACATACGGCTTTTCCGCACGTGCACTGTGGCTGAACGGCAAAAAGTCAGTCGGGCCGCTTGTTTGTGTTGACAATTGTGTTCCGTACGTCTATTATTCTGAAGCAGCTTTTGCATGTAATTGTTTTGACATCACTTCATTATTTCACTCTAACTTACTTACTTAATGTTGAAGATAAAAAACATTACTTTGAAAAGTTAAAACTTGATGATAACTGTTGACGATGTTGATGTTGACTTGTTGATTCAGATGCTTTTTGCCTACCAAAATGGCTGACGTGTTGTCACCGTGTTTTCTTGTAGAGAAATTTATTATACAACTCCAAGTTCATTCACCAAGTAATGTCGTTTTGCAGTCTCTCTCACCTTTTTCTTGAAAATCAAACTCCTAAATAAGACCATGAACGCTCGTAACAGTTATTTTAGTAATCGAGTCATTTATTGATTATTTACTTTAATTAATCAAGTAATCACATTTTTTTTCCCTTCTATAAAATATTCTTAAAAGCATATTAGTTGTTGTTGTTTTTTTAAGTCACGGTTCACAGTTAAAACATATAAGTATTTCATTTTGTATTTTTTCTTGAGTGTTTAGACAATCAAAGTATTTCATTTTGTATTTTTTCTTGAGTGTTTAGACAATCAAATTTTTCAGACTGGGTTTGCCGATGTGTTACCATGGTAACTGCTGTACATTCCTCCACAGACGTTGCTCTCAACACTATCCAATCAGAAAGCAGAATGAGCCTCACACGCGTCTCTCATCTGCGTTGCCATTTTCAACGCAGAAATCCAGTTGGTTTAAACCTAAAAAGGACTCTCTCTGATCCGAGTCCTCACCACCGCCATGAATCACTTCCTACAAAGAAAATAGTTGTTAGCAGGACTCAGCGGGGGGGGGCGACGCGCTAAAGCCGAGCCAAGTGCACTTTAAAAAACACGCGGAACGAACAGCGAGTCCTCACAATAGCGCGCGCAACGTATCCATAAAAGTTATATGCCTGGCACTTTGGAGGTTTATTAACATTTAATAGACTCCAGGAGGAAGCTCTCAGACAATACCGCAATATAGAAACCACAATGGATTTCCCTGTTTCTCCTTTAAAACAATCGCGTTCTGACGTCTCCGCTACAAAAGCCGCTGATGACCCCGTAGGACTTGGAAATAGCGGACAAAAAGCGGATTGCGTGCGGCGGGGAATGGCGGTCTTGCGAGGATAGGCCATAACTCTGGTGAGAATGCCTCGGTGGCGTTTATGATGTTTGCGGTAATACAGTGGGAATAGGAGTGCCATCAGACAGACAGTGCGCGGAGTTTGATATACACAACACTTTAGCAGAACAAAGAAGATCACAGCAAAGTTATGAGTCGCATTTACAGTTATTATAGCGCTAACGGCACAGGATGCACTGCAAAAACAAATGTCTGCTGAAGTGAAAATGACTTGAGTTATAGAAATGTGCTTTGGAAAGAGCAGTTTTGACTAATTCGCATTTTCGTTTTACTTTAAAAGGGATGAAATGTAAGGATTTGGTTTTAAAATTCCACAAACACAACCTAAGTTCCTGTATGCAAGATAAAAATGTCCAAACTAAATGTAGCTTTTACTGAAAATAACCATAATGCTGATTTATTCTAACTTACAAAAACACTGGACAAGTTAAATTATCTAAAGGTGCATTGCGTAACTTGCGTAAGGTAGGAGTTCGCCACCATGGAGATGCTCTTTTTTTTTAATCTATAATGTTCCACAATATTGTTTTAAACTTATATAATATGGATTTATTCAATTATGGGCGCTTTTATTGCTCAAAAATACCTTTAAAACATGACATTGTTACTGTGACTGGGGTCACCTCTTCACAGATATTTCTAGTGATGGGCAAATGAGACGGAGCTCCGGAGCACGTCTCGTTCTTTCTGAAACAACTTGTCTCGCAGCAGCCGCTCACGTGACCGAAGTGTCGAAGTGTCGGTCCCTCCCCCTACTGCTTCGCTCTGCGTGTCAATCGCTTCGAAGCGTTTCATTGGCTCAGCGAATGTTCCGCTCTGCGATTGGTTCAGAGTGTTCGGTGCACTTCCATGCGAAGGTTTGTGACTTTTAGAATATGGGTCAGAAGAAAAAATATACATTAGTTTTTTTTGTTGTTGTAGTTGTTTTTTTGTTTTTTAAGTCACAGTTCATACATAAAACAAATAGTATTTCATTTTTTCTTGAGTTTTCAGACAATCTAATTTATCAGGCTGTGTTTGCCAATGTGTTACCATGGTAACTGCCAGAAGTTGGGACTTGCAAGTCGTGACTTGGACTCGAGTCAGACTTAAGTCACTATTTTAAGGACTTGAGATTTCACTTGATAAAATGGACTAAGACTTGAGACTTGACTTGGACTTGAACGTCAGTGACTTGGGACTTGAGATGGTAAATGCAATCTACTGCAAAAACAACTATATGGAACACATTTTTAACATATTTAGGGCAAAACAGTGACTTTTTAAGTACAATTTAGCTCACAAGTCATAGAAATTGCATAAAACAAAACCATATTTGATACTTTAGTTTAAAGACTTGAAATGACTTGAAGCTCAAAGCAGACGACTTGGACTTGACTTGGACTTATGGGCCAGTGACTCGAGAATCGACTTGGACTTGCCTGTCTTTGACTTGGGACTTGACTCAGATTTGAGGTCAAAGACTTGAGACTTACTTGAGACTTACAAAATAATGACTTGGTCCCACCTCTGGTAACTGCCGCACATTCCTCCATAGAAACGGCTCTCAAGATTACATTACAGTTCAGATCTGTGGAGAGTCGCCTCTATTCACAGAAGGAATCACTGTATTTTTAAGCAATAGAAACACAACGTAATGAAAAAAAAGCTAGAGGGATATGGTTAATGTCAGAGCATGGAACATTCTAGGCGAAGTAAGTAGGTAGTCTGCACCGTCCACCGCGAAAGCTCCGCAATGCACCTTTAATTCAAGTCATTTCAGCTCGCGTATAGCCTCGATTTTTAGCTCCGCACCTGTTTTGGGGTCGACGGAGAAGTACGGCTGCCCCTGGAGGATGCTGTACACCACTTTGGCGCTGTTCCCGTAGGTGGGGTCGTCCGCGTCAGTCGCCGTGACCTGCAACACCGACGTACCTGCAGACGAAGAAGGAAAAAGAAGAACACAACATAAACAAACGGGTCAGGGAAGGAGGATTCTGCAGCGACTATTTTTGTGTCAAGAGTTCAAGTGAGTCAGGTTTTGAGAAGAAGTAAACACGGTCGGAATAATGGGACATGATTCCGGGATATGAAAGGTCAGAGCCTCGAGGGCGGGTTTACAAAATAAGTATACGGCTTTGTGGTTCACGGTAAAGCATGAGACAATATCACTCTTCGGGAGAATTGAAAGAATCGTATTTTTAGTGACAAATTAAAAGATTAGAAAACGAGAACTGAACATCTGCTTTGAAACACTAAATCAAATATGCACTTTCAGAACCACATTAGATGCTTAAATGATGACAGAAAGATCAGCGACAATAAATGAATGAATCTTCAACAAAATCATAAACCAGTCACATTGGTAGTTTTCAGAATCTGGAATGTGATTATTACACTCTGCCCACGCTTTTTCAGCACGTGAGCTACTTCTAAAATGACCAAGTCAAAATGATCTACCTACTACAAAGAAAGCAAACTGTTCTGCACTTAAACACTTTTACTTCTTTTTTTTTTCACTTCTTTTTGGACCCTCAGATACAGATTGAGAAAACCCACAAAAAGAAAGAGGGTAGGATTTTTAAACCTGTTTTTTCAAGTTCCGAACTGGAGTTACATTCTGGTTTTGCAGGGGAATTTACCAGAGGCACATTTACCAAACCAAATGCACATCGTGACAAACACAGATGGATTTGAACACTTTTATCAGGCAAACTTCAGCCATGTGTCACTGTAGGTCGGCTCTGTGCTGGAGGTGTCCTCTATGCCAACACAAAAACACAACTCCAGGTATTAACTTCTTGGATACATAAGAAGACAAAATAAACATTTTTGGATCATTCAGTCATTCCTTTTTCAAAATGAAATAAAAAATAAGAAAATGAAAAAAATAACAACTGTTTTTTTTTCATTATTTGTCTCCAAAACCAAAATTTAAAAAACGGGTAATGATTTGTTTCCTGTTTCTGTGACTTAAACTGTGATGATGGACTTTTGCACCACATATGGACTGAACCAGGACTAAACCAGGTCCAGGACTAGACTGGAACCAAACCGGGACTGAGACCGGGAACAGGACCAGGACTGACATCGGGTCCAGACCGGGACTGAGACCAAGACTGAGGCTGGGACCGGAGCAGGACCAGACCAGCACTGAGACCGGGACCAGACCGGGACTGAGACCGGGACCAGACCAGGACTGAGACCGGGACCAGACCGGGACTGAGACCGGGACCAGACCGGGACTGAGACCGGAACCAGACCAGGACCAGACCGGCACTGAGACCGGGACTAGACTGGGACTGAGACCGGAACCAGACTGGGACCAGACTGGGACCAGACCGGCACTGAGACCGGGACTAGACTGGGACTGAGACCGGGACGAGACCGGGACTAGACCGGCACTGAGACTGGGACCAGACCGGGACTGAGACCGGAACCAGACCAGGACCAGACCGGCACTGAGACCGGGACCAGACCGGGACTGAGACTGGGACCAGACTGGGACTGAGACCGGAACCAGACCGGGACCAGACCAGCACTGAGAACGGGACTGAGACCAGACCGGGACTGAGACTGGGACCAGACCGGGACTGAGACCAGACCGGGACTGAGACCGGGACCAGACAAGGACTGAAAACAGTTTAGTCCTGGTTTAGTCCTGTTTTCGTTGTTTCTTTGTTTTCTTATTTTCGGTTTTATATTGAAAAACAAATGAACGAATGATACACGGATTTTGGACAACTCCAGGTGTGTTTCTGAGGAGGTAACAGCTTTATAACATGACTAAAAGCTCTCGAGAGTCAATTTGCGTAATACAGGACCTTTAAAACGTCCTTTATTTTGAGACTCGCTCTGAACTCCTAAACAAATGACACAAAACTGGGCGACGCTTCATCATCGAAACTGTTATTTAAAATCTGGGTGTGAACCACTGTGCTTCCATTTAACACTCGAGGTGTTGCTCAAATAGTATTACAGGCTTCATTAACCCATTATAATTGCACTATGGAGGCTATGATGGCACTACAGGCTTATGTGACGCATTAGAGTTATTAACAAATACACCGCCATCTCTTTTCTCTACACACATTCACTTTCACCGCACGCCGCATGCTATATTTCCTGCTCTTGTGCGTTGGTATTTTGCACTTGGGAAATAAACTAAATGAAACAAGTAAAGCTTCAATTGTGGTCAACACAGAACACGTTTTTTTTCTCGTAAATCGGAACCAAGGCCAAAGTGGAAATGTCAACCAGAAAAAAAAAAAAAAGTATATATATTATTGCATTTTAACTGTGATTACAATTGTAGCTCCATTTTATTAGAGACGGGGCTGTGGTACTTTGTGAATAATAGTGATAATTGATCGTTTGCGGCTCATGTCATGGACTTTCCCTGAGGGTGTGGTGCTAACTGTAGGCACTGCTCTGTCTGAAGCTCTGTTACTCAAATTAGACTTTAATCTGAGTTAAGGGTTTTAAAACATTTACAATTTTAATAAATGTCAAGACATAATGTTTAATCACAAATATTTTGGCCGTAATAATAGAGCTAATACTGAGAAAATACTGTCCCATGCACACAGCCAACAATAAAAAAATAAATTAAAAAAACGGAAAAGGGAAAGTCAGTCATTGAATATGTGGTGTTTAAAATATAAATAATTCAAGTTTACAAATAAAATATTATAATGAGGCTCTTCTTGGTTTCCTGGTTTGGCACTTTTTTAGTCCTGATCTAGACTGGGTTTGTCCTGATCTAGACTTTGCATGATCCTGGTTTAGTCCTTATCTCGACTTGGTTTGGTCTGGGTTTAGTCTTGATCTAGACTTGATTTGATCCCGGTTTAGTCCTGATCAAGACTTGGTTTGATCTTGGCTTAGCCCTGATTTAGATGTGGTTTGGTCCTGCTTTAGTCCTGATCTACACTTAGTTTTGTCCAGGTTTAGTCCTGATCTAGTCTTGGTTTGGCCCTGTTTAGTCCTAATCTAGATTTAGTTTGGTCCCATTTTAATCTTGATCTGGACTGGGTTTGGTCCTGGTTCAGTCCTGATCTAGACTTGGTTTGGTCCTGGTTTACTCCTGCTCTAGACTTGGTTTGGTCCTGGCTTAGCCCTGCTCTAGACTTGGTTTAGTCCTGGTTTAGTCCAGATCTAGACTTGGTTTGGTCCTGGTTTAGTCCAGATCTAGACTTGGTTTGGTCCTGGCTTAGTCCTGCTCTAGACTTGGTTTGGTCCTGGTTTAGTCCAGATCTAAACTTGGTTTGGTCCTGGTTTAGTCCAGATCTAGACTTGGTTTGGTCCTGGCTTAGCCCTGCTCTAGACTTGGTTTGGTCCTGGTTTAGTCCAGATCTAGACTTGGTTTGGTCCTGGTTTAGCCCTGCTCTAGACTTGGTTTGGTCCTGGTTTAGTCCAGATCTAGACTTGGTTTGATCCTGGTTTACTCCTGCTCTAGACTTGGTTTGGTCCTGGTTTACTCCTGCTCTAGACTTGGTTTGGTCCTGGCTTAGCCCTGCTCTAGACTTGGTTTGGTCCTGGTTTACTCCTGCTCTAGACTTGGTTTGGTCCTGGCTTAGTCCTGCTCTAGACTTGGTTTAGTCCTGTTTAGTCCAGATCTAGACTTGGTTTGGTCCTGGCTTAGCCCTGCTCTAGACTTGGTTTAGTCCTGGTTCAGTCTTGATCTAGACTTGGTTTGGTCTTGGTTTAGCTCCCAGTTCAGTCCCAGATGTTATCATGTGTGCATCCGAGTATGAATGCACTCTGTGGGAAATACTGAGAGAATTAAATTATCCACGCCACAAAATCAAGTTGTAAAAGTGAAAGTATAATTCTTGAGGGTAGGAGAGGAAATGTAGCAGGTTAAAAGGGCTAATCTCCAGCCTTTGTGCATAGAAATTGACCTGTGCTTGCACCGTTCAGCCCAAATTGAATTAGTTGGGGCTTTTAAGAGAAGTGATTCGAAACCAGCCAAGCTCTTGTAGTACAGATAATTCCCGTAGAAACTCCCAGTAAGAGCTGGTCGGACATCCTGAAGTCTAGAGCACTGGAGCTACTGTTTTATGATAAGGAAGGATCTGATTCCATAGTATAACATTTTATAATTACATTTACAGACCAACATTGGGCTTTACTTAAAGGCTGGACTTGATTTTTACCGACTTATAACATGAAAAAAACAGTTTGCAATGGTACAAAAATATTCCTCACTTAACTTATGGATTCAAAGCCTCCTGATTATCCACATTTTTTTCTTTATAAGCCTTTTTTTTTCACAACTCACAGATCAAAGTTTTGCGTCGCAGCAATGCTAAGCACAACTAGCCTGCTAACCACACACTTCCTGATTCTCCTCGAACAATAAAAAGCTCTGTGCTTGGAGGATCGTGTGATGTGAGGTGGCACCACTTAAAAAATAAAATAAAAATGCATGTATTTCAAGGTATTTTTAAGCAATAAAAAATACTTTAATTGAACGAATGCAGGATGGATACGTTTAAAGGCGTACTGCGGGATATTCCAGATGAAGCAATAATGTCATCACAGTGATAAGCAGGTCCCTGAGGAAAGATACACAGTGTAACTATAAATACAGACAGCACAGAGCTGGTCCTGGTTTAGACCTGATCTAGACTTGGTTTGGTCTTGGCTTAGTCTCGAACTAGACTTGGTTGGGTCCCAGTTTAGTCCTGATCAAGATATGGGTTGGTCTTGGCTTGTCACTGGTCTAGGCTTGGTTTGGTCCTGGTTTAGACCTGATCTAGACTTGGTTTGGTCACAGTTTAGTCCTAATTTAGACTTTGTTTGGTCTTGTCTTAACCCTGATCTAAACTTGGTTTGGTCCTGGTTTAGTCCTGATCTAGACTTGGTTTGGCCCTGGTTTATTCCTGAGTTAGGCATGTTTTGGTCCCACTTTAGTCCTGATCTAGACTTGG